ATAATATGCATATTTTTCCAAAATAAATTTAGGAAATATGTTTTGAAAACGTACGTTCAAACACATTTTCATCTTCAAATGAAACTTTACCCAAATCAAATTTTTCAAAACAAATTTGAAAGTATATGGCCACTGACTTAATGTTTTGACAGTAGAACTATGTCACTATGTATTCGTAGCAATGGGATATGAGTATTGACTTGAAGTGGCCGTAGGAAATATATTTCTTGATTTTAAATCTCATAAGTAATAAAAAATTTAATGATTGGAGCAGGACCCAGACAATAGGGCGGAGATGACGGAGGCACAATTGATTGGCATTTCACGTTCATTTGCATGCGAATTTAGGTCCTGTTCAAACATTGCAAATTATGCTGTTCTTATCTAATTTAAGTATTCCAATATAAGTCAGCATAATCAAGATCTACAGGTTCAATTTAAATACACCTTATTCTCTTTCTTTTCATGCAGCATAAATTAAAAAGTTTAGTTAAAGCGGGATAAACTCCGTAAACTGACCCAATTCGCCCAGAATTTGTTTGTTTTAAATGAGTTAGGCCAATATAGATCAATCAACTGGTCATATCTCAACCTTTTCAAAAAGACTAAAAATATCATCCTTTTTTAATTTTCCTTTTAGTGAAAAAATATAAAAGCTAATGTATTTTTCTTTACAAAAGAGATATAAAATATAAAAAAGTAAATATACACGAAGAAGTCAAGGAATTCAACATCTAATATATATCATAAAAATAAATTTTAATCTTGTATAGAGAGTATAATTTTCTGGCGAAGGGTGAATCCCCTTCCGCCACCTTGGCTCTGCCCAACTTTCAAGTTAAAATAATTTTTAAAATATTTGGATTCGAGTTATATTTTTTACGTTATTTTGACCCAATAATTTAATGAGTCATTTTTCGTTCTGTTCGTTAGATCAAATCAACAAAACGAGTTATAACCAATCTGTATTAACTTGGATCGCATGGGCAGAGTTGCAAAAAATGATATGGTTTTGACACCTATACCAGAATCACTACCAAGCACGTTATGTGTTCCTAGCTTATAGTAATTCATTTTGTTAGTCGCAATCATACCCAGGTACTAAAGCCAGATAAACTTTAGTTGGCAATGCCCTTATAGTCTGTAATAAAGGAGACATCGACCGAAGCAAGATCCTACTTTTTTTTTAAAACTTCCTATGTAATCCAAATATCGATAGTTGCAAACACTTTGAACTGAAAAGGAAACATCTTTCACGCTAGTTGCAAAAGCAAACGAATGCAAACTGGAAACCAATGGATTTCATTCAAATACAACTTCTTCCAATTTTTTTTAATCGGCAGAAATTAGATCATATTCTAGGCTTCTAGCCAATGCACATGGACTACAAATCAATAATTATAAGAATCTAGAGGTGACAAAATCAATCCATTATTTGTAATTCCGCCAACCTGTCTTAAGCTTAAACGAGATGATTTATGATCAATCTTTTGACTTGACCTAACGAGTTAAATTTGAAATGATGTCTTGTAAATATGTAAAAAAAAATGCAACCTAATGGGTCATAACCCAAACCTCAGCATGTAAAATAAAAATTTGAGATTGAAATTATATCAGTTTGGGAGAACTTATAAAAAAAAAAGAGGGAAGGTTGTGTCACATTGAACAAGTAGGGTTATGACACAATTTGACTCATTTTTACCTAATCAATAGTCAAACTTTAGACAAATTGAATTATGATCCATCCATTACCCGTTTCCACCCACTCAAATTCGACCATATCTATCCGTTTGCCACCTTTACGAGTAATGTCCCGATCCGGATTTTCCACCCTCGGGAGTCGTGATGACGCCTACTAGTGTGAGCTAGGCAAGCCGACCAACTGAACTATTTACCTTCTTTCCATTTTTAGTCCTTTAACAATTATGAAGCAATAACGTGTAGGTAGCGAAATTTATAACAAGCGAAAGAAAAGCAATAAAACTATCTGAATATACATCTAATACAACTATTTGAACAACGACTACTCAGAACTAATGTTACAGCTTCACAGACTGTCTAGGAATACTACAAATAAAGGTCTGAATGAATTAAATACAACACTGTCTCTGAAAATACATGAAAGAAACAGGAATAGTAGATAGAAGGAGACGCCAAGGCATGCGGACGACTGCAGGACTATCTCAGTCGCCTGGTGAACAAGGAACAACAATCTCACTACGGTCCAAAGTCTACAGCACAGGGATCTGCACAAAAGAGTGCAGAGTGTAGTATCAGTACAACCAACCCCATGTGCAGGTAAGTGCCTAACCTAACCTCAGCGAAGTAATGACGAAGCTAGGACCAGACTATCAAATAAACATGTGCAATTAAATCATATACAACGGAAATAGAAGTAGACAATCACAATTAAAATTGGGCGGGAGAAACATGTTGCGGGGAGTAACAGATAACAACAGAATATCAAGAGGAATATAAAGAAACCAAAATCCAATTACTAACAAGGATAAGGAAAACAAATGCAGAGTTCACTTTCATTTCACATCTTGTTGCAAGCGTGCAACTCGATCTCATTTCATGTATCTCGTTGCAGGCGTGCAACCCGCTCACATTTCATATATCTCGTTGCAAGGGTGCAACCCGCTCCCATTTCACATATCTTGTTGCAGGCGTGCAACCCTCTCCCATTTCATATATTTCCGTGGCGGCGTGCCACCCGATCCCATTTACAACTCAACAATAATCACAAAAGAATTCCGGCAAGGGAACAATTATATTTCAACAACATCCCGGCAAGGGAATAATAATATCAAGACAAACACACCAGCAAGGGAACAATAATATGACAATAACAGTCCAGCAAGTAACAATAATGATAATAACATCCCGGCAAGGGAACAATAATGATAATAACATGTGAAGCGCAATAAACCACAACAGAGTCATAACAATTACAATACAAGACTCACGGACATACTTGACACCGACGTATAGATACTCGTCACCATGCCTATACGTCGTACTCCACAATTAACACGTAGCAAATAAGATTCGAGTCCTAATCCCTCAAGCTAAGGTTATACCAAACACTTACCTCGATGCCACAAACACAATTCAAGCCTCAACTATCGCTTCACCTCTTGATTTCACCACCAACTCGCTCGTATCTAGCCACAAGTTACTTAATTACATCAATAAACACTAAATGAATCAAGGCCAATGCATGAAAATAAGTTTTCCAAAGTTTTACCCAAAAAGTCAAAAATCGCCCCGGGCCCACATGGTCAAAACCCGAGGTTCGAACCAAAACCCGATTACCCATTCCCCCACGAACCCAAATATATAATTTGTTTTGAAATCGAACCTCAAATCGAGGTCCAAATCCCCAAATTTTGAAAAACCTAGGTTCTACCCAAAACACCCAATTTTCCCATGAAAATCATTGATCCTGAGTTGAAATCATGTGTAAAGATGTTAAAGATTGAAGAAAACTAGTTATAAATCACTTACAATTGATTTGGAGAAGAAATTGCCTTTGAAAAATCGCCCTATAGTGTTTTGGTTTTGAAAGAGTGTGAAAAATGATTGAAATGCGTCTAAGTTATGAATTTACAGGTCTCTACTGTCGCAATTGCGACCAGGGTTCGCAATTGCGAACCCCTCAGAAAAATGGACTTTCGCATTTGCGATCCACTCAGCTTTCCAGTCATCATCGCATTTGCGAGAGACTGTTCGCAAATGCAAAATCGCATTTGCGAGAAAACAGTCGCATTTGCGACTCAGGCTGCCAGGTCTATTCTTCGCATTTGCGAAGGTTTGTCGCATTTGCGAGCCAGGCTTTGCGAAGCCTGCAGACCTGATCACACCAGCTGAAAACCTGCAATTTTTCAAGTCCAAAATTCACCCCGTGGCCTATCCAAAACTCATCCGAGCCCCTGGGGTTCCAAACCAAACATGTACACCAACCTAAAAACTTCATACGACCTTGCTCGTGCATTCAAATCACCAAAATAACATCAACAACTAAGACTCGACTTAAATTTCGTTTCAAGTCTGTTTCTTACCAAATTTCGCAGACTCGACTTAAACCACATATAATACCTATACCGGGCTCCAGAACCATAATACTGGCCCGATACCATCAAATTTTAAACACATTTCATTTCCAAAACTCATAAATAAATTCCAGAAAATAATTTTCTTTAAAAATTCATTTCTCGGGCTTGGGACCTCGGAATTCGATTCCGGGCATACGCCGAAGTCCCATATTTTCCTACGGACCCTCAGGACCGTCAAATCACGGATCTGAATCCGTTTACCCAAAATGTTGACCGAAGTTAACTTAAATCTATTTTAAAATCAAAATTCATTATTTTTCACAGATTTTCACATAATGACTTTCCGACTACGAGCCCGGACTACGCACACAAATCGAGGTGATGCTGAAAGAGGTTTTTAAGGCCTCGAAACGTAGAATTTACTTTTAAAACAAGGTCATCACAAGTAATGACGTAATTTCATAGTCATTTGGTCTGAATACCACATGGAGAACATAAACCACGTAGCGGAACGAGAAGACCCATGATGTAGAAGATTATACCGTGAGTGATTCGGCAAGTTTGAACTCTCATATATATATATATATATATATATATATATACCCATATGGTATTTCATTCTACAATATATTTATATCCATCTGTATAGAATTAATATCAAGCATGTTATGTGTCAATAGCTTATTCTTCAATTAGTTAGTCACATCATACCAGGTGCTAATGCCAGATGATCTTGAGTTGGCAATGCCTTTGTAATCTGTAACAAAAGGAGACACCGGCCGAAACAAGATCCAACTTTTTTCAACTCTCGCTCTCAATATCATAAAGCAACAAGATAATCCATCAATCAAACATTTTGAACTGAAAAGGCAACATCTTTCACACAAAAGTTGCAAAAGGAAACTAAAAAGTAGGAAACTGGACAAACTAGATGCAAAAAAAGAAAATAAAAAGTTGCAAACTTTATTTACGGTTTCCGCCTCTTACGTGCATCTCACCTGAATCAGTATACACCAATTTTAATAGTACAATATAGTTCACACTAATCACAAATACAGTAATTTCCCTTGAATACAATACCAATTACTAATTAACAGAACACATGAGCGAAAAAAACAGAACTAAATCTTTGCAAAAGGAGAGGTTTCTAATCTAAATAAAGGGTAAAAACATTGTATACATATTATAAGTTGCTTTCATCTCGTAAGTAATTTAATGCAAAAACAAATAGATTCGAACCCAAAAACATAAGATACTCAATTCTTGAATCAAACGCCATATCAATTGTTGAAAGCGTCACACCTGTGCCTGATCTCACCATGTTTACCAATTTTAACACCATGTTCACTAAGCTTCTGCATTGCTGAAGCAAACGCCTTAAAAAATGCATTCTGATCTCTAACATATTCCTCAACGTGAATTCTCGTCCTCGGATCTGAAAACAGACCACGGTCTGAAGACAATAAACCCAAACCCTTAGGCAAGTTCTGATAATACATATTATCGAATTTGTTAGGAGTCATTATATCGTTGAACACTGATAATGTTGGATCTTTCTGGGAATTACTACAAGCATCTTTCAAAGCTTGAGCAAACCTCGGATTATACGAAGGATCAGCTTGTGAAGTTTTGTTGTAGTTATAAAGATCCGAGTTGAACTCTTTACAGTGGGAAAATCCAATTGTGTGAGCTCCAGATAATGCTACCATTTCTTGAATCGAAAATCCTCTGGATTCGAAAATCTTAATGATTTGATCCATCGGCATTGTGGGCCGGGGCAGATTTCCTTCTACTAATGAGGCTTTCGATACAAAAGAATCTTTACGGCCCAATTTAACTGGATAAAACGGGCCGCCAGTTTGGACGACAAGGTTTCGGGCAGCGACGGCGAGAATGTCGGAGCAAGAGACTATACCTGGACAGGAAAGTTCAAGCGCGGTCTTGGCGCGTACGACCACGTCGAAGCCATCGCCGGGGAGGGAAAGGTTGATTTCGGCGTCACGCTCGGCTTTGTTGAAGGGAGTGGAGGAGACAAGTACGGAGGCGTCACAGCCGCCGACGAAGCAGTCGTGGAAGAAGAGGCGGAGGGTGGCGGCGGCGGTAGTAGGAGAAGTGATCTGTTTGTTTGTAGTGGTTTCTTCCATTATCTGCTCAAATCTTGGGCATGATTTGCGGTAAAAAGCAGTATTTAGCGGCGAATGGCGCTGGGATAAAGAGGAAGTACTTAATAAGGCGGAAATGCATAGAAAAAGAAGCATTTTTATAGCCATTTTCACAGTTTAAGCTAAGCTATTTTCTGCTTCTTCTTCTGAGCTTACTCTTGGACTTGGATTTGAGTAGCTTTTAGAGGGAGAGAGAGAAAGAAAAGGGAAAGTAGATATGTTTGGATTTTTTAGAGAAAAATGTGGAGAAAAGAGAGAGGGAAATAGGGAATGGAGGATGGGAAATAGCTGGACGGCTTCAATGGTTTCTCATTTCTCTTCATTCAATGATATGTTTTTTCTTTTTGGTTGGTTTTACTTTATTTTTATTTAATAGAACATGTTCTAGTTCTACTCTCATTTTCTTCCATAATTCCAAGTGCTTTTCTGTTTACAACGCAGCACATTATTATGGGAAAAAAGGACTACTAACTCGACGTTTTTAAAACCATTTATGAAGAGGTGAATAAATGAGTAAATATAACTACGTAAGCAATGTTATTTTTTTATATTTATATTTAATATTTTTATTTTGCTTGATATATATATACTAAACTTTTTAACAAAGCGGCGTTCCCTAATTTGCTAGGGACAAAGGTCTGCCCCTGATTATTTTAGTAGAATAAATTCCATTAACCATTATTGTGAAAAATTACTGGGTTTATTTTTGTTGTTGTAAACTCCATTAACCAATATGATGGACTTAGTCTAAATCAGTATTGCAGTGAATAAGTTTTTGTCTTTCCTAATTTTTAGCTACAAACTTTAATGAAAGAATTGCCCTTGGATTCAAAATACTTTTCTTCTTTTATTTATTATGAACGGCATAAATCTTGAGCCCTTTTGGATTGGCTTATTTTAAGTGTTTTTAAGTTAAAATAGCTTTTAAGTCATTTTGTAGTGTTTGAATAAAATAAAAAAAATGCTTTTTAGCCCTTATTTTTTAAGTTAAAATGACAAAAATAAGCCAAAAACCAAAAGTTAGAATTCCTAACTTATGGTTTTTGGCTTAAAAGTCACTTACAACAAACTCATCCAAACGGGCTCCTTATCTTCCAGCTCAAAGGAGGATAATATTTTTTGCCGGTTTAATCCTAGTAATACAGTCAAACTTCTTTATAACAGTTTCATTTGTTCCGAATATTTTTGAATGTTATAGCAAAATGTTGTTAGAGAGAACATATATTATAACATAACATAAAAATTGGTTCCGAAAAAATTTGACTTTTATAGTAAAGTGTTATTATATAGAGATACTGTTATAGAGATGTCTGACCGTAATTATGTCAATTCTACCTCTCTTAGGGTGATCAAGGGGCTCTAACATGCAACCAAAGACGGATGAGGATCAATTAATTAGTTATGGACTTGCCCTTCTAAACTTTCCTAAATATGGAGCAACAAAGAAAATGGAAACATAAAATGTTCATCAATGAAATGAAATTCTTGTATGAGAATGAGGCAAAAGGAAAATGGATTAAAGGGAGGAAGTTGACATTTGCCTTTAAGCATATGCAAATGTCAGTAAATCACCAATACTAGTACTAGGAAATAAAAATAGCTTTTTTAAAAAAGAAAAGAAGACACGTGTCATATGAGTGTGAAATTAATCAAGAGGATCCAAAGGAAGGGTTGCTATTATGTAAGCAACCTACACTTTCAGCCAAGAGGTTGTGAGATCGAATAATCCCAAGAATAAGGTGAGGAGTTCTTGGTGGGAAGGATGACGAGGGTCTATTTGAAAACACTCCCTCTATCCATGGTAAGGATAAAATCTACGTATACATTACTTTCCTCAGATCTCACTAGTAGAATTATACTGAGTTGTTGTTTGATACAAAAAGGAAAGGAAAAGAAGGAATTGAGAGACGCGCTGTTGCATGAACCACTAATCACGGGATGTGCGTAGCTAGAAACATGGGTCCACATGGGAACCCGGTTCTTTGAATTGACCCGTCGGTGCTATTCTACCATTTTTATTTTGGGTTCTAATTTTGTGGATTTGAGATGACAATTATGAAGGACCAGTTAATTCAGTAGAGCAATTAAAAAAAGAGAAGCATTAGCGCCTTTATCCATAATGGTTAATTTGATCAATTTCCGAGACCCGAATTACTGAAGTTATAATGTTTCATACTCGACCGTTTACATTTAATGTGAATTTTAAGAAAGAAAGAATGAAATTTATGGTCTGAAACCTATCATATTCCTTTCGGTCCAAAATAAGTAATTGTCTTTTTTTTGTAGTCCAAAATAAGTGATTTTTCCAGATTTCAAGAATGAATTAATTATTTTTTTTTCTACATTTCTCCTGGAGTAAATAGCATTGGAGTATGTGTTAGGAGTATTTATGTGAAGAGATAGTAAATGTTAATATGATCAATTTCATTGCTAATTAATGTTAAAAGTGAATTTCTTAATTTGTGTGAAACCAACTAAAAATCACTTATTTTGGACCGGAGGGAGTAATATTTATGTGGTTATTAATTTTTTTTAAAAAAAATAAAAAATATTAAATTATTTTCAAATATATAAATATGTTATTCTCTTCCGAACAGACTAATAAGTAAATAATATTATATAAATTAGAAGCTCAAACTATTTCTTCCTTTAAACTACGATCTTCATCAATATTGTAGTATCTTAGAATTATTAACTATATTAATTGTTTTTATGTAGTTTTAAAAAAATTATTGTATATGGTCAAAACTAGGCTTGCCCTTTTGTATTACTAATCGAGACCGGAACATGGCAGGCCAAGTTTCAACCTCGTGTTATATCGAACAATGATGCAAAGTTAGATTGTCGAGTTCGTGACCGAGAGACCGATCGAGATTGAGATTGACCAAGATCGAGACCAGGCAGAATAGAGATCGAGGAAAGCTTACCGAGCTGAATAACGGAAAGTCGAAATATTCGCAATGGGGCGAGGATCATGGCGGAAATCCTGTCACGTATCAAGAAGAAGCCGATTAATTAGCTAATCATGAGATTTCTTACCTCATATAGAATTGTACCAATAGTAGGACTCCCCTACTATATAAAGGGAGTCTGATCATTTGGAAAGGATCATCATATTCACGCCATACAAAGCGATATACTATCATTTTCTAGCTTTTATTATCTTGTTATTTTGTTCCTAAACTAGTTGAAACGTCTTTGGTTAAAGGGTGACTGAACTCGAGGGTCAAGGCTATTCAATTTATGTGGTTTGCATTTATTCTTTTAGCGTCAATTTCAATACGAATTTATTCTTCTTACTTTGTACCAAAATATATCATAGCACACACTACTTTACACTTGTTCTTTAAAGTATCTTTGATTACAAGATTAAAAATGTCAGACTCTCAATTAGCACCTCTACACGTTAACAATAATCTCAGCCACCACGACGAAAATGATAACATAGCACTAGGGAATGATGTACCCCCAATTGGCCCCGATGGAGTTACGGTTGTAGATCCAATTGACGTTAGTTCAAATGTAGCCATCAACGGAAATTTGGTCATCGATCCCGAATGCAGTATACGCGGGGATGCTCGATCAGCCGCTCAAAGCGCACGTGGTGGTGAAGATGGCGGGACCAGCTTACGGGTGATGTTCGAAATGTTACATGCTCAACATGCGCAATAGCCCAGCTCCAAAACTAGAATCACACACCGATTAGGATCGAGCCCGAGCCGTCCCAGGAAGTTGTACACAAGGTCGAATCTGTTTTAAGAAAATCGAGCGAGAAAGAGTCGGAGACCATGAAGATGCTCGAAGAACTAACAAAGCGAATTGAGTCCGGAAAAAAGAAGATCGAGGCAAACGATAAGAAGGTGGAAATGTATAACTCCAGGGTCGACCAAATCTCGGGGGCACCACCAATATTGAAAGGACTGGATTCCAAAAGGTTCGTACAAAAATCTTTCCCTCTGAGTGCGGCTCCGAAGCCAATCCCTTAGAAGTTCCGCATGCCCGAGATTCCTTAGTATAATGGAACGATTGATCCAAACGAACACGTCACCTCCTAGACGTGTGCTATCAAAGGGAATGACCTAGAAAATGACGAGATCGAATCCGTCATGCTGAAAAAATTCGGGGAGACCCTATCGAAGGGAGCTATGATATGGTACCATAATTTACCACTTAATGTTATTGATGTATTTGCTATTCTTGCAGATTTCTTTGTAAAGGCACGCGTCGAGCCACCAAGGTCGAAACCAAAAAGTCGGACCTTTTCAAGGTTGTCACGATCCATTTTCTAAACAAGCCGGGATCGGCACCCAATCACTAAACATGACCGAGTGAACCATCTACACTTATTAAATCTATTATAACTTCAAACTTTACATGCCACAAGGAACTACTGTAACCAAATACTCTTAAATAATTTAAATATCTAAAATAAGCCAACTTCAAAATTTTATTAATAGTAACCAATGAAATACTGCTAAATTATTATAAAAAATATCTGAATCTTAACCCATCGACTATGTCTATAAAGCCTGTACTGATAAACTGACGCACTGCTCAGGACATGAGATTTTTTGGCCAGTTCTCTAAGTAAACAAAGAAATAGCTAAGTAAAGATGACTCTAAGGAATACTCCACGAAGAAAAGCGGAGCTCATCAATAGCACTGGAAGAGAAGGAAATCCTAAACTGTAGCCTGCTCTCCTGCAAAACCGGTTCTTACGTTGTACTGCAGACCAACGTAGGTTTCCAAAAGAGAACGCCAGTACCATCCATTATACTCAGTGAGTCTCAATGACAGGGGACGAAACTTTAATAACTTATAAATTACAAGCAAAGGTTCTAAATACATGTAAAACATAAAGCTTATAAAAACAATTCTAAAATAATTGCATAATAGCAGTTTATGAATAATCTAAAAGAAATTCTTTTCTTTTTCTTTACAAAAAAATATACTTCACTTTATACTTGGGAGTTCCAATATCCTAACCTATTTATGTCTTAGTCACCATATGATCGGCACGGGTTCGACCCCAACCTGATCGAATAGTTCCAATCCACGAGGTGTCACGCGCTTCATGGTTTTCAGCGCTCATGTATCATACCTTAGCATCGCTAAGTAAATTCTCAGCAATGAGACCCTCAGCTCGTGTTCTCCCTACTTTGGCACAAGTAGTTTCAGGAAGTCAACGCCTTGGTTAGGACCCTCGGCCTGGACGATGACCCCTTCTCAGAATAAAGGATACTTCCAAAAATCTTTTCTTTCTAAAACTTCTTCTTGTGACTTTTCAAATCTAAATCATTCAAACATACTTATTCAGGAATCCTTAAAGCTAAGGTA